GCGTTGGTCTTGTGAGTTCTGAGTAGGGGAGGGAGGGTGGGAGGGGGGAAGGAAAGAGAAGAATGTGATATCCAAATTGGCCTGCAAGCTTATGGGGTGATCCGTCCAACCCTCTGTCCGCTTCCGAATGGTAACGAATCACTTATGCGCCCTGGCGACGACGGCGCAGCGCGTGGGCGGGACCCCTCCCTCTGTCTCTCTCTCTGATCTACACATTTACGCAGGTAGAGAGGCGTATGTTTCACGAGACACGCCGAACCGCATGTACAACATCTGCGCCATCCATCACCTCGCATTAGAAGGGGTCACGCTGTGTCCCTTCTTTTTCGATGGCTGCATATGAAAACTCCTAGACTTGGACGCTTGCCCCCCCCCGTCTCCACACGGCCTGCGCAAGCTACCGGGAGAGGCGGTATAACGTGGATTGTGGAGAAAAGATGGCCGAAAATGGCCGGAGCTTGGAAAGGTGGTCATGGTGCGAACTAAGACGACGGTCGCGCACCAACAGCAGGGCCTAAAGGGGACTAGAGAGAGGACGTGGCGGGCGAGTTGAGCAAAACTCGGTCAGCTTAACAATTAATCTATTTGAACCCAGGGCGGCCGCTGCTGCTGAGGAGAATCCTCTCGTCAGTCGTCGTTTTTGCGCCTTTGCGCTGCGCTCGCTGACGACCTTTATCCCCCCCCCCCCCCCCCCCCCCCCCCCCCCCCCCCCCCCCCCCCCCCCCCCTCCACTCTCCCGTACACACGCGCGCGGCGTGCGGGATGAGCAGCAGCGGCGGGCGCGGCGGGCGCGGCGGTCGCGGCGACGGACAGCGAGGGAGGGCAGAAACGCTCAGTCTCCCGATGCAGAATCCGTATGTGATGACGGAGCAACCCGCAGGAACCCTCAAAAGACCGACCGCATTGTACGTACGTTACGTACGTACGTGACGCCCACGAACGCACAGCACAGGCTCAGGCACACGGGCACACATGCACATACACATACGTCGCGGCGGCGGCGGCGGCGGCGGCGGCGGAAGCGGCGGAAGCGGCAGCGGAAACTGCAGTAGGGCTCTTCTCCCTCCCTTCCCCAACCAGGGACGGCTGACGAAAGCCTTCACGTCCGCATGGGCCGGCCTGGCCTGGGTCTTTTCCCCAACAAGACGAAACGGGAAACAACAAGGCAGGCAGCAGTCATCGATGGCAACGACCGGGACGTTACGGACGGGGCCCCGGTATCGTCGCATTCGTGACCCGGGATCTTGGGTCGCCGCCCCTTCACGCCTCCCACTCTCGCCCAAGCAACGCTCATGCCTCTCTCTCTCTCTGCTTGAACCCCCGCCGTTCACTATAGGCACAAACAAAACGCACGCAGATGGGGGGGGGGTTGTCTTATTGCGGTAAGCAGTCAAGTAAAGGCACCTGAGGCTGGTTGATTAATTCAGAGAGGGGTGCGAGAGCGAGAGAGAGAATGAGAGAGAGAGAGAGATAGAGAATGAACACTGTCATCCAGGCAAAAAAGAGCAGCAGTAGCAGCAGCATCAGCAGCACAGACCTATCATATTTCCTCGTCCGCTGGCCCTCCCTCAGTGTGTATGTGCGCGCGCCCATCGTGATGAGCAACCACGAGTCCGTTTCGCGCTCGGTCTTGGCTTTTTTTGTCATCTTCAGCCTTGTCCGGTGGAAAGTAAATACCGTACCACTTTTCACCAACGGCCCGTGAGCTCTTTTTTTTCCCGACATTGTTATTCTCTACCCCCCCTCCAAGCTTGGTTTGTTTGTTTATTGAGAGAGAGGAAGGGGGGTAAACATACACATACACACACACACACACACACACACACACACACCTCTCGCACACCTGGGGTTCCGTTCGGACGGGGCTGACTTGCTCCCAAATGGGCCCGGCTAGTCGGGTTCACCGGTATGGGCTTTTGCTGAAGTTGACGGAGACAAAAAAAAAAAAGTCAAAACGGAGAGTTTCATAACCTTGGGATGCCGTTGGTCTTGGGGTAATCATGGCAGAGTCAGTCGAGTGTCAGAACAGCGCCCCCTCCCCCCTTAAGCCGAGTCTCATCACTTTTTTGTTATTCTTCTCTGACAATGTTGGATCCAATCCAGTTTTGTACCAAGGGCATTTCACCGTGTTTGAGCATGAGCAGTTTGATGAGCGTTAAAAAGAGTACTTTGTTACAATGATATCGTTCTACGTATCCTGTGGTGTGAAAGGCAGCCGCTGGTTCGGCTGTGTGAAAGTAATACCCATTGCCCCATAAACACCTCCCTCTCCCTCGAAAGATAACCAAAATTGACCAGAAGTGTAATGCATGTTTGTCTGCCCATACCCCCCCCCCTCGGTTCCCATCCTTATCCCCGTGTGCCATTTGTGGGTGTGTGCGTGTAGAGCTCCCCTCCCCCACCGAAGGAAACTCCTCACCCCCCTCCGTAAGCCTTTTGCTTGTCTGTAAAGATACATTATCCCCATAGATACAAGTCGACATAAAGAAATGGCGGTTTCAGGAGATGATCCTAATCATCCATCTCATGTGGTAATTTTTTATACAGATAGAGCCCATGAAGATATTAAGAGATTTTGCCCCATGGGGCTCCTTTTTGTGATGTGCTGGGTCTTGCGGTCGTAGCTCGTCGTTAATGAAATAAAAGTGCGTCTGATGTAATGATGAAAGCGACCTTGTTTCAGGCTTTGTTTGTTTGATTCGTGTATTCCTTTGTCTCTGGTGATCCAGTGAGGCGTCTTTTGTTCTTTCTTTCTTTGGATGTTATGCCCTTAGACGCTTCCCCTCTTGACGTGCGCCGAGCGCCGGTGCTTCAGGCTGTCGAGATCCTCGTCAAAGGCCTCGCCGTCGCTGAGGGGAACGCTGGAGCGCTTGCCATCGTCGTACTCGCCGCGCTCTGTTGACGGGAGGATCTTGCTCTCGCCGCTACGGCTGGACATGGCGTCGGACTCCGCACGGGCGTTGCTGATCATGGTGGGCAGCTGCCGGCGCCGCGCGTTGATGAACCAGTTGGAGATTTGGTCTAGAGGCGGAGGCAAATTAGCGTTTGGTCCCAGGAAATACACCACAAACAACCAGTGGGATCCAACGGTTGTGCAAGGCGTAAACTTACTCATCTGCAGACCGGTCTGGCGCATGAGCTCCTGCTTCTCGTCCTCGGTGGGGTACGGGTGGTGCAGGTGGGCGACGAACCACGCACGCAGCTTGTCAGTCGTCTCCTTTGGCAGGTTGCCACGGCGCTTGCGTTGCTTGCTGTCGCCGTGCATGCCCATGGCGCCAAGCTCTCCAATGCGCATGAACTCGGGGTAGTGGCCGTAGCCAGCAGCCGAGAAAGGCGTGCGGTCGAAGGGGTGAATGGCACCAAGGGACAGGGACTGGACCCGGCTGGGGTGGTGGTATCCGTAGGCGTAACCGCTGGTGCGGTAAGCGGGAGCGGCCTCCATCATGGGTCCTGCAGACATGCCCATGGAAGGGCGGATGGGCTGGAAATCATCTTGGGAGTGGCCTCGAACACGCTGCATGGGAAGGGGCTCCCTCTCAAAGTTCATGGGCGGGAGGCTAGGAAGCGTTGTGCGGATCTCGGGGCGCTCGTTCACCTCCATGGCTGGGGATCGCATAGAAGGCATGCCCGACGAAGACATGTAGGGGCTCGTCCTTGCGGATCCGGTCCAGCTCTCGGTGGCAGAGCGGGAAGGGGCCGGCGGGGAAATCTGGCGTTGAGGAACTCGTGCAGGGCTCTCGTACAATCTCGGGACACGGCTGACTCTCTCGCTCTCCTGCTCCTCGTCGATCGAAAGCCTCCTCCTCTTGTTCGAGCTTGGCGAGTGAACATACTCGGGTGGCGTCATGACGCCGGCATAGCCAACTGTTGGCGAAGTGTTGGAGGAGGTGGTCCTGGTGGTTGCCGACTCCTGGGGCTGCAGGCGGAGGTGAAGTTCTGGGATGGCCTACAACGTGGTCAGCAAAACTCAATGGCCAAGGGGCTGGCTTGTCGTACCTGGCGGATGGATGGCAGGGCAATTCTCTCGGGCTCTGTACGGGGCCGCGAGTAGTCAGAGGTAGGCCTGCCGCCATCCCAGGGGTACTGCTTAAATGCTGAATGGGGGGACGGAGCAGCCATGGCGAGCATAGACATCTTGTGCTGGTTTTCTTGGAGAATGAAAGTCTTTTAGACACGACCGATGCGAACGAGACACTTTGGTACTCGATCCTGTTGGGTGATGGTGAAAAATAAAGAATGGGCGAGCTCGAAAGATGAAGCCGCACGGCGGTTTAAGGACTGCTGCTGGTCAGCCCGGATTCCTAAAGGGTAGCCCGGGGAGTAGGCCGTACCTAATACGGTCCAGCCTGGAGAGTCGATTTGTTGAAGTGGCACGTCGAGAACGGTGCTATTGTGTTTGCTTGAAGAAGCTGATGCGAATGGGAGTTGATATGGTATTGCTCGTCAACGAAAGACAGGCGTGAAGAAGGAGAGGCAATAAAAGGATGCTGATGTGGTCAAGTGGTCCCAGCCGTGAATCAACAAACAGCTCGAATGGGATGATGGTCGGTGATGGTCGAGACAGATGCAAGGTGGGATGGCAGTCCTTTTGTATATCTTGGAGTTTGGGGGTAGTCTTGTGCAGGTAGATTAACTGGCAGAGGCGCACAGATGTGGTGCCAAGATAGGAAATGGGAGAGAAGTGTTGAGGAGGAGGACCCAGCGACGGGCCAAACGGGACAAATTAAGACGGTGATTTGAGCACACTGAAACTGACACGAACCAGCCTCAGACGAAAGAGCCCCAACTAGTAGTGTTCTTGGTGAATCGGACCGTGATGAGTTGAGGAAGTGAACTGGAGAAGAAGCGCACAGCCCACGGATGCTTAATGCCTTACTATGTATCTGGGAACGAGGCCTTTGCTGCTGTGGGGGAGGAAGGACGGTTTTGACGGAACAGACTAAACCTGAACTAGCCCAGAGCTGCGAGGCATGGGCATGGGTGGCATGGCGAGAGGACGATCAGGGTACAAGCAGGCCGTCGATGAGGAACAAGAGGAGGATGGGATTACCCATCTCGACCAGGGTCGCAGGACCACGCCGTCCCGTACCCACACCCCAGTCAGGGCCTGGTCCTGGTCCTGGGATTGCTTCGGTGGCGGGCAACGGACTGGTGATGCTAGCTTCGTCGTGGTGGTACTTGGGGGATGTGCCAGCCAGCAGCATGGAGCATGGATAGGGGTCCGAACGAAAAAAACGAGTGACCAGGATACAAGTAGAAGAGTGGAAAGATGGGAGAAGCACTAGCCTGCGTGAACAGTGACACAAAAAGAGCCACTAGAGAAGCCGTAGTGTCTGTGGGCAGGGGTCTCCTGTACCCCCCGGCTGCTCGTTGCTCATCCGGGGCCAGGACGGTTGTGGTGTAGATGAAATTGCCCGAAGGGGGAGAGCGCTGCGGCGGATATGGAGATATTCAATGGCGCTGCATTACTCCAACGACCGACTATTCAACGTGCCATCACGTACATATGCAACTGGCGCGGTGGTGTCAAGCTACCTCACCTCCCAGCCAAGCCCCTTTCATTGTGTCTGTAACGCTCTGGCTGCGCTCAGGTCCTATGACGGATTCTTGGGAGGCAACGTGGACAAAGGCTAAGTAAGAGATATGCACAAACGACATAAAATCGGTTCCACTGGGGCAGCGCTGGCGGCCTGGCTCCTACTCTGGTACGTAACGGTGTCTGACCAGGCTGACCGTCATTTCCCGATAGGAGTACATTGAGCGAAAGCATGGAAAGTCGGAGATGTGACAATATTGACAATATAGGACGCACTCCATCCATGTCATCATGAAGGAGCGACCGCATCAATGCCGACGAGAGGGCGAGCGAGTGCAAGGGCGACGAACGGCAATCGCCAGACGCGCTCCGGCTACCCTGGAGCGTCGAGGACAGCGTTGCAATCGCCGCCAGACTGTGTCTGTTATTCGAGATGGCGTCTTTGGAGTCTTCCCGCCGAGCAATTGCCGTCTGAGCTCAAGAATTGAAAATAGAAGACAGCGGGAGTCCTGAATTTTCCTGAACCTCATACCTAGCGAGCTTGATCGTCCGTGAGCAAATCGGCTTCGGGAGGCTGATTGCCATGAGAAAGCCTAGCAGCCCTCGAGCTCTTCGATTCTCTCGATTTAGCAACGTCTTCGTGAGCGAGACCCGTTGCTCGTGCACGCTTCTCGGTGAGGCGCCGACGATGCTGCAAATCCCGGCTACCGTCTCTTGTGTGCACATGGTTAGGGAGTGAGACACCCCCCGTTAGGCGTATGTCGAAAATGTCATGACTTGGAGACAAGTTGACAAGAAAGGAAGCTCCCGTTGGAAAAAGGACTGGTGGTGTGCTACAGCGCCGCGAAAGACGTTTGTTTCTGTAGGTGGTTGTCGATGTTCCGGTTCGAGCTCATATGCTAATGTGTGGGTGTGTATGCATGCCTAGCGGCAAGAGTGAGGTGTGTTGCGCCGCCTGTGGATGATGGGCGATGTTTTGGTTGTAGAGAGGAATCAAGGTAGGGGGGGTCAGGTCAGGAAATCAGCCAGGGGAGCCTTGACGTGACGGTCGCTCCCCTGTCTGGCTTCTCGCGATCCCATCCACCCCCCCCTCCAAATTAATGGCTATCCATCAGCCATCCCAAAACATTTAGGTGGGGTACCGGATGTCTCCTGGCTGGATGGGAGACAAGCAGGCAGTTGAGTTGTGCGCTAGAGCGGCTATGCCATCCGCCGCTGACACGCCCACCCTTTTTCAGCCCGATTCTAACGCTACTCAAGTATCGCATTGTCGTGCGAGTCCTGAATAAGGTCCGCGAGCGTCACAGGCTCGAGTATTTGACATAGCCGCGCAAGTCTGCCGACGACTAAGAGGACAGGGGACACGATTCAAAGGCCCATCCCAAGTCAAGTTTTGCTTTGGGTCGACGAAAACTGAGCCGAACAATTCTGCCGCTGTTATTGTTATTATTGTTATCGTTATTTATTTTTGTTGTTGTTGCTTCTCCTTCTTGGATTCTCAAGCCACACGTCAGTCGCCGAGTTGCAGCTGACGTCTGTGACGGCACACCACCAAACGATCCTTGTGGGTGTGTCTGGGTGTTCTTGGGTTCAACCAGTCGCTGAGCTTCCAAAGCGATTCTGATGCTTCGACCACGACGTTCGGCGGAGGAGGCTGTGCGTGTCAACAGAAGTCATGGCACCTCGACCCAAGGACGACCGATGCAGACTGAAACGTCAGTCATCATTGGATGGTTTTCTTCCGTCCGAGTGTTTTGGAAACTTGGGTACGATGCATGTGGTGCGGCTTCCCGTGACGGACCATGCCTAGTTATTGAATCGTTCTGACATTTGCCTTATCAGGAAGTGTTTGCAGGTCTTGCTTCAAACGAAGCATCCAGTTGAGCAGAGTTGCTGCTCTGCGATTGGTGATGATCAAACTTTGACATATGTAACCTTTGTCCCTCGTCTTTTACCCCCCCCCCCCCCCCGCAATGCATCAAAGTACCCAGTGTCATGCGGCTCCCAAAGTCTCTTTTTGGTCGGCTCCCACGCTGGCGCGATCTTGGTTCACCAGCAGCCATTGCGTTCTTGAGGACTTGAGGATCACCCAAGGCTGCGAAAATCGCCGAGTCAGTAAAGTGCACTAAGGGACATTTGGGTCAAGGCCCATGGCCACCGTTTCGATTTCTGGTAGGCGTGCTTTTTTGGGAAGCAGGCTAATCAGGGTTGCTGGCGCGCCTCGTAGGTCAAGCCTCAACTCCAGGAAGTGGCTGGGTCCTGTCCTCCGTCGCAGGGAGCACAGGCAGCGCCTCCGGAGCCGAAGCCGCCCGATTGAGGGAGAGCTGTCAAAAACGCAGATCTACCGCGGTGATCCTGTGGCCCCCCGCCGGCACCATGGCGGATTGGGCGTGTGGCTGGAAGGAAGTGGCATGTTCCGAGTAGCATCAATGTTTTGCCCCGGCGGCCGTGGCGAAATCCCTGTGGTGGTGCTGCCTGGGGTCCCACGATGAATCTTCTGCTCGCAATCCCTCTGACAGGTCCCAGAAACAGCCCAAGTCGTGTGCATGACAGCTCCAAGGGCTAAAAGGTTCGTGAGGAGATCTAGCTAAACTCGAATTGCGATTGGCTGCCCGGTGCTGCCACAGTATAGTTGATCTGAGGTTGATCGGAACCAGAGATGGGATTGTTCAGGTTGTCAAACATGAGCCTGGATTGCGATTGGCTCCTCAGGAACTGTCATAATCGGCTCCTTGTCAGGTGTCGCCTCAAGTTGCTGCGCCTCAAGAATTGAGTTAGGTTTCCGTCGGAACGGGGTGCACATCACACAAAGAAGGGGAGACAAGGCGAGACGGAAGCCCGGGTGCTGACTGATGGGCCGACAGGAACCACGGGGTATCGCGAGCTTGACGTCTGAGATGTGAAGTGAAGGGGACTGTTCCTTGTTGGAGACGTTGCAGCTGGGCTGTTGTATGTCATCTGGGACGTGCCATGCCAAACATGCTGTCCGCCCTTTTGCCTGCACTTCGCTAGTGCCCTTGTTTTGGGTCGTCAGTTTCAACTGCTTCTCGAGTAAACCGCTCTCCGACTGGCTCAGTTGGCGAGATACAGCGTGGTCGCCATCTGGCCCTGGCGCGCGGCGGTTGGCAGCATCCAGACGGCCCCTTGTTGTTTGGTTTGGTAGAGGTAAGAGCCCAGTGCAGAGCCGATCCTGTTACAGCCGTGAACTCTGAGCCAGTCGCATCCCTCGGGTTCATACTCGCTGCTAGGCTTTGCAGCTCTTGTTCGCTCTACAGCTGAGGAACGGACGGCACGACGATCGCCCGACTACTCGGCGCTAGGCGAGCATCTCAGCAGCCAGAGCAACCAGGCGGACTCAGCGTCCACTGCAGGTACCAATTTCTCCGGCGAGACAGCGGCCTCTTACAGCGCAGAGTGGCCCATGCCACAGGTCACCAGTCTGTGTCCATCGTTGGCGAAGACTGCAAGGACTACACGCTGCGGGACAACAAGTTTGGTCTCGTTGGCTGCTATGTCGTGGCGCATGGTTGCACAACCATGGGACCTCGTTCGTAGCTCGCCGCCGCCGCCGCCGCCGCCGCAGGAAGGCCAAGCTGGCGTGACAGCGCACCGTACGTACATAGGAGGTCGAGTGAAGCTAAGGATAGCAAGCGTGCAGGTAAACAAGTCGAACTGCGCAAAGCTCTGAGCAACATGAGCACGTTTCTCGCGGTATCTGGCGAGATGGTTCCGAAAGGCAGTCATCATTGGCGTGTCCGAGCCCGGGCATGTTTTTGGATGGTCCAAGAGCGACCTAACAAGACGCTGGTCCATGGCAACACAACTAGGCTAGACTGCTTGTTGGCGATGTACATGTAATGGTGTTGGATGTCGATGCACAATGTAGCACGCATTCACATCGTCATCGCCATCGCCGTTGCCGCTGCCGTTGCTAGCCCCATCTGGGACCTCGGAACGGTCTCTGAAGGCAGGTTGGAATGGTTGCAACAAAGTCCTGTCAGCATAGTGGGTGCTAATTGGCTGGGATTAGCCGCCGCAAGGATGTGGTGATGGTGGGCGACGCGGGAGGCTGCCGGTTTGCTTGCCCCCAGATCTCATAGCCGATGCTGGGCATCGATCTCGAGGATGCACTGTACGGGCCCTCGTATGCAAGGGTTGTTGATGTCGCCGTCAGCATGGAACTCTTGGTAGCCTGTACATGCATGTGCGATTGAGATTGTCTTGACCGAGATCCAGGGGTTGGTGATGATGATGGTGTCGTGGGTTGAGCCCGGTGAGGCGCGTGCAGCGCCTTGGGCGTGGTGGTGGAGATCGACGATGTATGGGCAGCAAACGAGAGAGCAGATAAAGGCCGGTTAGATGTAGTGCAAGCGGTGTGCGTCATGATTAGATGGCATCTGCATCGTCGACTGTGAGAGCAAGCACAAGTCCGAGGTGTGCATATTGAGGGATGAAGGGTGGCACGCATACATAGTACACTACACTACCTGCTCTGCATATTTGTGGAGAAGGGGGCCTTGGACTGCAATTATGACAAGCTCGACCATGACTGACTCTTGACAGAACCAGAACACAGTGGCCCCCCACCCCCTCCCTATGGCCAATGTCCAATAGGCAGGCCTGTTCTGCTTCGTCAAGGTCCGGGAAGTGGATACGCGGGTTGGATCGAAAGGAACTGAAGGGAAAGAGCCACCAAGCGCCTCTGCAACTGTGAGAGGACGCTCCAAGTGTGCTCGCGCTTGCGCCTGTCGTCTCACTAACACCTGCCAGTTTCCCTTAGGGCCAGCCTCTTTTCCCTTCCCTGCTCTTTTCTCTTATCCCCCCCTTTTCCCAAGTCCCATCCAGGGGGCAGAAAAGAAATGAAAGTAAACAATGGAATCAGAGACCCTCGGACGGGACACAAATAGCTACCGAGCCGTTGGCACTATTCCGTCCGTCCGTCCGTCCGTCAGCATGAATGCCTTCGATCCTTCACCGTCTTCCATCTCCCATCGACGGACGCTGGGCTGGACCGTCGGCGTAAGCAGACGGCAGCCGCCCAAGCAGCCTGACACAGCTGGCTTCCTACGGGAAACCTGACTACCTTTAGCCTCAGGGAACCATCTCACGACCTTGCCGTACATGTCGTCGCACAGCGTCACGCGCGCCCCATGGCTTGCTCCCACGGAGCGAGGTTAGGGAGAAAATAGAAATGTAATCTCCATCTCGAACTTGCACGAGACCCAACCTGGCAATGCTGGCATCGGAGACAAGACTGGCTTGCTTGCTCCGGGAGTGTCGACTCTTGACTGGTATTGATTTCCGTTCCCTTGGGACTTTGATGATTAGGACCATGACCTTTTGAGCCTGTTAAAGAGCGACGTGGCGGTCCCACTTTCCATCTCGATAACGGATCGGATTGATGAACCTTTCGCTGCAAGCGAAAGCAATCAAATGGAAGGTACAAGTGGACACTCGGCATTTTAACGCGAATGGAAGTTGCAGGCCAGGCCATCGTCCTGCTGCACCTGCCTGCTCTGCCTCTGCCTCTGCCCTTCGGTCGCAGGCTGGGGCCCAATTACCCCCAAGGCGTCTCTCGTCTTTCGGAAGAAACTCCCTCCTCGTGCCTTCTTCCCATTGGTCCTCAGCCTGCGACCAACGATATGGGCCGGGAACGCTCTTTCCGATCCAGACGTTCCATTTGCTGACCGTCCACACCCGTTTCTTCACCGGTGCCATAGAGCCGGACTTGACAACTGCTGCGAACATCCGCCAACGACCGTCTTCTGAATTGAGATGTGACCAAACAGAGAGACAACAACCTATTGCCCAACCTCCCAGATGATGGCCATCACCACCTGCATCTGGTCCACACTCCCGCACATACAGAAGGCCGCATCAAGCAACGCCGACGCCCTCGTCCACGTCCACGCCCCCAGCTTTCAACCCCAGCTGCACTTGTGTACGGGGCTGACCCTCGGGCATTGGACGCATCATGGTATCTGCCCCTTGACAGATGGACAAATGCTCTGTCCGGGCATCTGTATCCGATAACCCAACGCCTGTTTGCGCACAAACTGCTTCGATCCTCCCAGCATCCACCGTTCAGTCGCCGCTACCTTCCGGTTGGCGCACAGGACGACTAGTTGGTCGCCCAGTGTTGTTTCGAATTCTGGCCAGAGTCGTTGAAGAGCATTACGAACCGGCCTTGCGAGAAACCGAAGCAGATTGGAAGAACTCTCTTCTTCCTGCTATTCTTGCGGGATTGACCGCCCGGTTCATCTATATGTGCCGTATTCCAAACTGGGACGCCACTGGCTGCGCGTTGACACAGACAAGGGCTGGTATTAGCTGCTATTAGCTTCTATCTGAGGCCCGGGCCCTCGTCGAGAAGACTTCGTCGCCTGTTCTAGGAACGACGTCGGACGTCCAATCCTCCTTCTCAGGGGAGCAGCAATCTGACCGCCGAAGCCGACTCTCTTCGTCCCTCGGCGCCAAACTGGGTCATGGGTTCTCCTGTCATCTGCCCATCCCCATTCCTCCGAATACATGCCTCGATCAATCTCCCAGAGCGCTGGCCACCCAGCGGTCCTACCATCACTAATCGTCAATCCATCACATTCCATCACAGTGCTTTCCCGTTGCCCTGTGTTCCCATGGCACATGCCCACCTGCACTTGGACAGGACGACCTTGCCAATCGCCGCGTTGCGTTGCTGGCTGACGAAGGCCCAAGATACATACCGTGCGTCTGCTTGCCTCGGTCAGCACGGCCTCCCATTGGCCTCTGCTATAGTTGAGCAAACTGCAGCACCAAGTGCTGCTGTTTCTTTGGACCACATCCGAATCCCCTCAGCTCGCTCGCCTCGCCGACGCACCTAAACGCAACTCAAATCGCTCGACACTGCAGGCGCTAGCACCATGCACGATCACAATCGGCTGCTGTTCACAAATCGATCTTGCTTCACGCCCGCATATCTTCCTGCGTCTAAAGTCATTACGGGGTCTTGATTGCCGCCTTCTGATTCACCCTGTTTAACACCACAATAACTGCGGGCAGCGGCCCAACCATCTTTACAGCGACCCTCTCTGCTTGCCCGTCTAAGGTCAAAGGAGGAGTTCGGGCTGCTGTGGAGTCTGCCTTGTTGTACCCACACGGTTCAGGTCCGGCCTGACCTCCGCCATCGACAGGGACCGACTCAGAACACGGTCACTGAGCGATGCGACCCTAAAAATACCATGTACCACGAGAAAGGGTGGCTCCGAACTGCTCCCGAAGGCGTTCGCACAGTCTGGCGCTCGCCGGCCCTAGAGCAGCCTTCGAAGCTTCAGGTTACTGTCAGGCACAACTATCTAGAAAACTTTAAAACTCAACAGCCCCCAAGTCACAAGGATGTTTATATCGCTCTGTCGAGGCGACCGAAATAGACAATCTCACCAGTTAGTCTGGCCGAACAGACACAAACATCGCGTCGTCGAGTCTGTTCGCCTTAACGCCTCATGTTTCAAGAAAACTTGATCGACTGGCTGCAGCCTCCCTTCGTCTGTTTGCATTGCAGCCTAGATACTGCGGTGTGCTTTGCCGGCGAGTGGCGTGACCATCGATTGTGCTCACCTTTCTTCGCTCATCGCCAACAATACGTATTGATGATACGTATCTACCTGTTGGGCAGCCTGCCTGGTCTATACTATGTTGCGAGAGTGGGCAAAAGGATCGCCGAGGTGGGGATTGTGACTTCGGGTCGTCGTATACTCACATGGCATCGTACGTTTGACAGCTCCACGATGTGTAGGGGAAAGAAACGAGAGTCGTTTCTTTGACGAAATGCCAGGCTTGTTCATTCTGCCAGATCGGTGGGTGGCCCACTCGACCGCATGAGCAAGGATTGAATTCGCAAAAATGACCAAACTAAGCAAAGATTACCCGTCGTGAGGGTTCCCATCCAAATGGATCCTCATTGTCAAGACCAGGGCACGGCAAGGGAGCGACATTCCATTGATGAGACGGCAGAGCCCGTCAACTGGGGTCTTTGCAGGGGTTCCGTACTGCTGTCTCACGGGACCCAATTATCTGATCTTGCTCCACGTTTCAATTCGACTCGGATCCGGCGCCGTCACTCACTACCGAAACATATCGAACGGCTTCGGGTCAGGTGACAGACGTTTGAACACGAGCTCACTTGTCATTTGGATTGATTGGAAAACGAGGCCGCTCATACGAAGCTGTGCAACATGCTACAGGCACAGCCCAAGCGTAGACCGGGGACAACGAAAACCCAGCGGGAGATATTCTGCCGTCATGACCATGTCAAACTCCAGGGTGGTTGTCTGAGTGGGCTGCCCTGTCATGACTGACAATTCCGGGGATTTGGTCATTTGGAGCCCCAGCGCCGTATCCAGCACGCACACTGCCGTGGGGAGACCACCCTCCGGGAGGTTCACCTTCCCCGATCTCCCGATGAGCTGCAGCGCACCAGTCAGTCAATCGCAGCAAGATGGGGAATCTTGCAGTAGCAATCCTCCATCGCCTATCGAACTGTGTAATGAGTGAGCCGCACGCCTCGGGGCTTGCCACCACATGTCGCAGTCTTGATGGCCCATCCATTTAGGTTGAGCCTTTTGGCCGGTACTGTTGGTTCACTTAATGGAGTATGATCCCTTGCTTTCAGGATTAGCACCCGCCATACGATGATATGCCCATTGCTCCTTAATGACCGACTGGTTGGGCTTTCCAGTCGGAGGAGGGATGGAGGTATGGATTTCGAG